GTGTGTGGTGGTGGTTATTTTTAAATAAACACCTTTTTCCCCTCCTTGCATAACAATGAGGGAGAGAGGTGGCCATGCTTAACTTGGGGGTTTTGTGTGTGTGTGTGATTACCAAAGTGGCAATTTGGATTTCAGAATAAGCCATTTCAAATTTTAGATACTGTTATTTGGGGGAACAGGGGGCTGGGATTTGTTTGTTTTGTCATTGACTCTGCTATGGGACTGAGCATTAAATAGTTGCCTCGTTCTTGCAGTAGCTTTTTTAATTTGATATTAGGTGGGCTACAGTCCTCTGTAAAGTTTTGCAAGCCATTTGGAACCTTTTATTAGTTTCAGGGAACACTAATGTAAAATACCAAATTTCTTAGTAAAATACCAATCAATCCTTCAAAGTCATAAGTGAGCATTTGAGAATTTACATGCACATGTTTCACTATCTTACCTACTTGATTGATTTAGGGGGTTTTTAGCAGCTTTTCAAACCCTATGCTGTACAGATCTTAGCTTATTAATATTTGTGAATTTTCTGGTTATTGCTACTTCTTGTATAAAGAAAGAATATAATCTAAAACTGTATGTTTGCATTTTAGGTGTATTTGAATCACATGGAACTCCTGTAGTGCCTAATGTTAGTGTTATAGCTCCTGAAAAATTATCTGCCAGTGCCAGGCGTCGTCAAGAAATTCAGGTACACATGCCTCAAATAAATATTAAGAAGTGATCCGTAAAAGTTGTTTTTTTTTATTTTCCCTAAATGCTGAAGTTTGTTAAAGGTGCAAGATCAGCATACTTTTAATTTGTAATATGTTTGTAACAGATACTCTATGTATTTCATTATGTTGTCTCAAACTAAAGGCCTAAGAAAAAAATGCAGATTTAAAAAAAAAAAAGCCACAACACTGCTTAAAATGTGATATTATAATAATGTAGAAAAGGTTAAATTATGCTAGAAACCAATGTCAGAGTTTGCTCATTTAGGATTATTGGCTTCAAGATATTTAAAGTTATGTGGTAAACAGAACTGTAATCTTAGCCCCTTTTTAGTCCAAATTTGGGTGTGCACAAAAAAATCCCCCCTGTACATAGTTCTTGGAACCCAGATAAAGACGCGGATGTTATTCACTGAGCTCTGAGCTGTTTTCAGGTTTTTAAGATATAAAAGCATCTTTCCAAGGTACGAAAGACAACATAGTGCAAGTCTGCAACTGCATTTGTGAAGTGTTACCTTTGCAGGATTACTAGTTTGCTTTGGAAAGAAGCCATCCTTTTTAAGCTAGAGATGATTCACTGTATCCAGTCACAGGTTCTCGCATTCCTCTGAAAAGTTATCAAACACCAGAAACAGAAAGGCAGTTTTTACTACCTATGCAAGAATTCACATTGTAATGTGCAATTCTGTCCGCTTTAGTACAATACCAATATCATCAAGTCTTTACCATTGCTGCAAGATTGGCTGAGCCCCAGTCCCTTCCTGTCTGCTCATCAAGGATTATTATGGACCCGTTACTGAAAATCATATTAAATGTAAATTTTAGTTTAAATATGATGTATTTCTACATGTTGTGTTAGAAGCAGCCTCTTCTATTCTCATCAGCTATGAAATAGAAAATAAGTTCCCAACCTGTGTCACAGAAGCACTGTATTATACTTCTGCCCATCTTTTTGTTGCCAGGTGCAAACAAGACTTCAGACATTCATTTCTAGCCTGCAACAGAAAACAAGTGAGATTGAGATTTTAGCAGTAAGTATTTGGCAGAAGCCTGAATTAATTTCAAAATCTTAACTGAACTGGATGATGCAGTTGCTATCTGGAACAAACTACTGCCAATAGACTCACTTTAGGGATACCAAATGAACCAAACTTCTGGTTAAGTAAGACCCATGGCATGTTTCTCTTTAATACTTGAAAATTACCTCAAATTGTGTGTATTGGACACTTGCATAGAACAAAATTTAACAAGTATTTAGTTGTAAATTCTTAAGCTGTACTTATGTAACTACTGTTGTGGATTTAATAACTTGTTCCTGCTAGATTTGCTCTTACATTTAAACCAACATAGCTTTTGTTTGTATATAGCTCTTAGACTTTGCTGACCACGTCACAAAGGACTTTAAAATGGTATACGCTTTTCAGGAAACATACCACCTGTTTGCCTGTGCCTGCCTGGAAATTTCTATAATGGAATCTGTCATGAACAGTTTGTTTAAAATGCTTAAAACCTTGGTAAATTCCCAGGCCTATTGGCATGAGTGCTTCTTTGGAAATCAAAGAGTCTGACTCTCTTCAATATAGCTAATATCTAGTTGGCAAACTGGTAACAGAACAACTGTTAAGTACTGATTTCTTCATGATCTTTTTACAGGTAGATCTGCCAAAAGCAACTATGATACGCTTCTTATCATTAGAGGTAAACAATTAAGTATTGTTGTTAAAACTGTAATTGAACAATAGATGATAAATTCTGTTCCTTACGAAGTGAAATGTAAAATTCACCCACTGTAGTTGTTCTCCTTCAAGGAGAAGCTGTTGGTGGAGGACCCAAAATACAGAGGCAATTTTTTCGAGTACAGTAGCTGAAACATCTCTTGGTGAAGCCAAGATTAAAAGGGGCTGTATAAGTACTACACTGACACCTTTAACAATGCAGAAACTACTTGATGAGGGGGGAAAAGCCACCAAAGAAAAAGCTCTTTTCTTTCCTCCAATGACAGCAGTAGCTTTGAAGTCAAAGGTTCTTACTAGAGAGATGGATGCCTCCCCACCCCCCAAAAAACCAAACTCAGGAATGGCATCCTGCCCGGAAGTGGATTTACTACTTCCATAGCTTTCATCGCCTGCTCTGAAGCGGTGCTTGTCTGGTAATCAGACCCCAGTGAAACATTTGAAAATATTTTCAAAATACTTAGTTCATCCAGTCTATCTGAATCATGGAGATAGTTTATCACTTTTTACATTTAAAAAAAAAAAAGCGATGATAAGCTTACAATCATTTGCTTCTGACCACCCTTACACCACAGTTCTCCTGTTCTGTCCAGCACTGCGAAACTGGTAAGAGCCCTTTTCATTGCTTACGCGTTTTTATTGCTAAACTATCTGTGATAAGAAACAGATCACTAAATTCTTAATACATTTTCTTAGAAAAATTTTTAAAAATGAAGTTGCACATGTTGTTTGTATGAATTTTGTTTGAAACCTGCTTAATTAAGGGGCATTGACCGTACACACTGTTTAGAAGACTGAATCCTATTGGGAGCATTTTTCCTTCGTGAGACTCTATCATAGTTGCTTGTCAATTTTTTTTCTTAGTTTGATGGAGATAGACAAACTTTTGATACTACTGTGAGACAACTGATGTCACAATGGCCAAAACAGAGATGTTCATACTTACAAGCAATTTGTGATGAAATTTACAGTATCAAAATGGAAAAGAGGTAAATTTGTTAAGCTCTTACAGGTATATAAAACATGTCAATTTTTTCTGTATTCAGACTTTACTAAATAAGCTGCTCTTAATGCGTCCTCCCCTTTCCCTCTCTCTGAGGAAAAAAAAAATAATTTGGGAAGTGTGTATAGTGCCTTGAGTACTATGGGAAGAGTTTACTGGTCACCTAATCCTTACTTCTGGTAAAATGTAAATTCTTGGCCATGTAAATTCTTCATTTTTATAAGCCTTTTCAAGAAATTCTAAAATGTATTCCCACTGCTACCTCATTTACTGCTTTGTTCATAAAACTGAATAGCAAACAACTATACACGTTCAGGTATACCACTATTTTACTACATAGTAACCCTCTTTTTTTTTCTCATGGGAGGGACTCAGGTTGCCTTTTAAAACTCAAGAGCACATTTAATTCCTCCTTTGAGGAACTGAAGGAATATGAGGGGGATCTGGCACAGCTGACAGACTGCCCAGCTTTAAGCAAACACGATACATGCTCTCTCAGCACCTACAGTAAAGCCTGTTTCTGTTTTCTAAGCATAAAAACATTTACGTTCAACTCCTTGTCTCTGGCAAGGCTGAAACAGATGGTCTGGGCATATCCAGTTTTAAGCTGCAAATTTTTAACTGTTGCATGTACTGGTACAGTTAAGCGAGACCTGGGTATTTATGTCCTACTGTGGGTTTCATTTGTAATACATTTTCTTAAGCCTGTGTTCAGCTTGAAGGTGCTACTTAACCTTCACATGAGACTAAAAATTGACTTTGACTCCCTTTTCTTAGTGAGGCACCAAAATTGCTTCAGGTTTGCTAATGTTTCGTGAGGCAACTAAGTATCAAGTGAAACTTTTTTTTTTTCCTTCCTGTGGCTGCAAGGCTGTGAGCAACAGAACCCCATTACTACATACAAATAATATTCCATACAATGTTGGGTGTGAATAGTAATGCAGTCCCCGACAAAGTCTTCCTTTCCCATTTGACGCCCGCACACAGAACACTTCTTAGCCATAAGCCTTCGGATCACTGAACGACAACTGAACAGGCTAGATAAATGGAGAAAGAACGAAGGGGGAAATTGCAGTCACAGCCAAAGGAACTAAAGCTTACTGCTTTTCTACTGAATCTTTGCTGTTAGCCGATTGCTAAGATTTGCCCCAGGTAGCGTAGCTTTTGCACCTGCTCTTTCAAAGTTGTAAAGTTCTCTTTTTCCTTCCCTCTACAGGGTTCCTGTGCTTATCCTGTACAGTTACCGAGATGAATACAAGGTTTTGGTTTAGTGCTTAAAGCATCTTTTATGGGATGCTTTTACTAACAGACAACGGTGTTTTGTCCAAAGAAATTTCAAAAAGCTGTAATAACGCAGAGTAATAATGCCTTTTTATGTGTCCAGATTGAATTTCACATGTAATACAAAACTGTGAATTTATGTCAAAAAGTGTAAATAATGTTTTATAGGCAATTAAGGAGCAAGTCTGACTACAGCCGCAGATATGTACGATCATGTAGTTCTTGCCCCTTATACCACAGAAGAGATGATCAGCTGTGCAGGTATAAAACTACTTTTTTTTTTTTTTTAAATATAGTTTCAGATTGCCTTCTGCATCAACATGCAAGAGTAGTGCTGAGAAACTCAGTTCAAGGATTAAGAGAGGATGAATTATCTTCAACTCTGTTAAACTTTTAAACTTTTTTGATGAAGGGTTTTTATGTAATAAAAGGTTTGGCTACTGAGCCTTCTTGAAATACGTATTACAAGCTTTTTGTGGTTTTTCTTTTTTGGTTTTTTTTTTTTTAAACCTACTGTTTTAATTTCTATATAAAAGATGGTAGATGTCAAGCTGAGAGTTGTTGCAAGGCTGGCTGCCTGTTTTCCTGCCTGTACTTTTGCATTCAAACCCAGCAGCAGCTTCCTGGGAGATGAAACAAGACCTAAAGGACCTAAATCTAAGACTTCTAAAAGAAACAGAGGCATAACGAAAGTTTACAAACTAGCTTTCTTCACAGGGGTGGTCAGATTAACTTTGAACTTAAAGTCATCGATGGGAATCTTCTTGAAGCTAAACTGTAAAATAATCCCATCAGGAAAAGTGAAGTTAGGCACAACTGAAGATTAGTTGTAGCAGCTACATTATATTTCGCAGCAGCATTATATTTTACATCAAACTACTTGCAAAAGTGAAGTGAATATGCAGAAAAGTTGGGAATTTTTGGGAATATGCTGGTGTTTACACTCCCTCCCCACCTGTTACCTTCTTTTTCTTTTTCTAACTCAAATGATTGCCTTCAGCACTGCAGGCTCAGTGCTTTAATACTTACTTGCTTTTCCTGCCCCTTTCTTGTAGTAAAGAGGAGGGCAAAGTTAAAATACATGAAGAGGTAACTTTAAAGGCAAACCTGAGAACTGTGAAAGTTGTAACAGCAACACAAATAAGTAGCCTAAGGTGAGTCAACCCTAAAGGCACAGGTAACCATACCATTCCTAGCAATTCACCGAGACAAGTCACATCAGTCATTACAACCAAGTCCATTTCTCATTGTGTTTAATAGGAACAATTAAGTATTCACCTTTTACATCTGCTCATATGAAGGAGCTACTTAAGATGCAAAGTATGAGGAAATTCAGATCCCTGAATATACTGAAGGATGAAGCTTTAAAAAGTTCAGGTGACATGAGCATTAAGCTATGTCTGAAGAGAACATGATGCAGAGTCCTGCCCTCCCCCCACCTTGAGCTGGGGTCAGCACAGCTGGATCAGTGTGGAGCGAAGGCAGCACAGCTGCCTGGCTCTGCAAGAGCTCAAGCACTGGGCTGGCTGCCTTAGGGATATCTGCACTGCATCACATAGACATGTTCCTCAAAACAAGACAGAAACAGGAAAGCTGCTGTTCCTGATAATATGTTGGCACCCACTTCCCCTAGTACTACTGAGGCTTATCTATAAATCTGGGCATCTGTCACTGAGACTCCTGCTCCAGTCTTGCTTTGCTCCTGGTACGGTGCATTTCTCTTCACCCTGCTTTACCCCCACCCCACCCTGAAAGAGGTTTTACACTGCCCACTTATGGAATACAAAACAAACAGCAGTGCACATACAAAACTAGTTGGCAGCAGAGTGTAAAGCTATTTCAGTATAACCCTGTAAATACTGCTGCCATACAACAATCCACAGAAAGCACCTTCTGCTCTCAGTCTAATCAGAAGTACTGATCACATCCCAGTATCCTGCTGGAAGGAAAGGCAAAGACAAGTGGTAACTCAAAAAGAAATGGACTTTGCTTGGAGCAAGGGTCAAGTCTGTCACAATGTTGGTAGGACACTGTTCCATCACTGTGTTGCTTTACTCTTCTTGTTTTTGCTTTTCTTGTCTTTTTTCTTCAAGCCATCCATGTTAGCTCTCAGCAAATTTGAATACGCCTGAAACAACAGTTACAACCATTAAAAGAACAAATACTTAAGTGACAACATATTAGAGGTAACACTTTACCTATTGCTAATGGATAGGCATCTGCATTTTCTCAGTTAAGAGAATCATGCTTCAACACCCTACATTGGGAAACTAAACCAATGCAGAAAGTTAGATAAAATACAACGGGATTTTTTTTTTTAAATAAATGCAGACAGACAGGTAGTCTAAGGTTAATCTGTATGCCAGTTTAGCACTGAATCAACCCATTCAACAGCTGTCCAGTGCTTCCTACTGCCCGCTCCCCAATACCTATCGAAAAGGAAGGTAAGAAAGAGGCATACAAAACTTACCATCTGGAATTTATTTACTTCCTTTGAGCTTACCTGCAAAAGTAATACTGGAGGTTAACCATGAAAACACTGGTTTCTATTACAAACCAAGCATCAGTACGTGCTTACCCACCAATGACCTCCTAGTCTTTTTAGCAGCAGTTGGATCAACTCATCGCACTGAGCGGTAGGTAGACTGGACTGTACAGCCTGTCGTAGGACTTGACCGATTTAGAAAACTGAAAACACTCCGTACTCAATTAAAATCCTCTGGAGGCCATTCGTCCCAAATCCGTGTGGTTTCAAATGGGAAGAACATGAAGAAACATTCTAAGGAAGGTTTTATTTACTTGCAGGGCCATAAAAATACGTTGCAGCCCAGATTCTTGCAACTACTTCTCAAAGTAACATTTTTCCTTGGGTTACCTCACAGAGGAGAGCTAGTCAGCTAAAGCCTCTCCCAATCTCTCATTCAAAGTAAACACACATCAGGTTTTCAACTTCTAGCTAGCTCTAAATGAGAAAAAAAAAAAAAAAGGTACAATAAGCAAGATTAAGGCTTAGAAGGGTCTGCCCAGGCCCACGTGTTCTTGCCAGGAAACAAGGATCCCTCTCCGACTGTTTACAGTCTGGGAACATTCAGTTCTTTCGTGGGTTGTAAGAACCTTCAGTAATTCCATGGCGATCTATAGGAAACCACCTCTTTGTCACCTGGGGCTTGAGCGTAGGTGTGCAGGACCTTTCTACTCCTTGGAGCCACACCATTTGTCGTCATGCTGCAGGTTCCGTATCTGCCCCATGTCCTTCTGCCTGTGTCTCTCGAAGCACTTTCCCCTGTCCCTCCAAACAATTTCACCTGACTCAAAACACAGCAGCCAAGGTTGCTGAAGACAGGCAGAGTCCCTTTCTGCTGTCCCGCAATACCATTCTGAAGCAAAATCCAGCATATGGAGCAAAACTATGAACTACTGTCCCATCTGTGACGCTGAGTGCAACCATTAAGACTTCAGGTAATTCTAACACTTCAGCAGCCCAACTTCACCTGTGTGTTTAGCTATCATATGGCTTCTCTGGAATTAAGAGGGTAGTTCTCATGACATTCACATAAAGACAAATTTAACTTAAAAACATGGGGCGTTAAATAAAAGACAAGCAGGGCCACTAATCTTTCTAACCCAAAGTTGTCGCTTACCACTGTGCTGATTTTCTTCTTTCCATCAGTTGCTCGTAGAAGACACTTGTTGTCTGCCGGTTCAAAACTTTCTACGTGGCCTTTGCGTGGGACTGGTTTTGTTCGGCCATCATCTGTATTGAAAGACAGAGAATGTTTATTCATATTTCTCTAAAATCACCGGATGCCTCCTGACATGAGATGTTAAAAATTGCTCACAAGGAGATCTGTAAAACACCTTGGAATTTAAGGCCACCTGAACTGACATTGCTGCCAAAGTGTTCACAGACCCCTTCCTCTGTAACCCCAGAAGGATCTGTCCTTCCATAAACTACCTCTGCCAGGAAAAGTGTAAATCCTTGACCTGACAGGCTGCATGACCTGCCCGCTTCAGCAGCAGTATGTTTTAACTGTGTGTCAAACACTTAACTTCTCAAGTAGCGCCAGCTAGCCAGAGACCAGAGACATAAACACACGAAAGGAACACCATAACTCTCCTTTTATGTAGAACTCTAAGAATTTCCAATTAGTGTTTAATAATTATAAAGTCCCAATATTTCCTGCAGTTTGAAATACAGTCCTTCTTCAAGGTTACTGAGTACTGCAGTTAAGATGACTGATTTGTCCATTCGACTCCTCTTGTTTTCAGATACTCGGAATCACAGCTGTATCCTTTACCACACACGCTAACACCACCAAGTTTGATTTAGACGAACACCTCTTTAACCCAGCAACAGGCGTGACACTTACATTTCTTCAGTGTTATGAAAACGCTCCCCGAAGTTCTGCACTTTTGGAAGAGTCTGGTAAGCTCTGTCAGGAACTGCAAGAGAAAGAGACCCCGTCCTTGGCCAGAAGCCACCGCGCTGGCCTTCACTTCTGCTCCTCTTACCCCCCGGCGGGGCGCTGCCCGGGGAGCGGCCCCCGCCTCGCTCCG